AAACCCAAATTTTAATTTAACGTAAACCCAACTTAAAGCAGCTTTAAGGCTAAAGTTTAAGGTAGGTTTAATCAGCTGATTAATTGTGTGAAACACCTTGTTTTGGTTGCATTAAATCAAGCTTAAATGTGCTTGAAACGTTTAGTTTAAGCAGGAGCGTACTATAAAACCATACTTAAACGAAGCCTAAACTCAAGGTTTTAGCTAAAAATAATCAATCTTAAATTTGCCCAAAACTTGATTTTTAAAAACAAAGGTCTCAAACTTGAATTGTTAATTGAACTTCAGAAACTACAGTTTAAACTAATCGGTTGGTTCCAGTGGGCTCAAGAATGGTACGGCCCTGATCATTTTGTCTGGTACTATTTTATGAGTTACTGCTCCCGAAAAGTTAAGTAGTTTTCAACATCCTTTTGGAAAAATGAAATTAATCTATCCCTTTTAAGTCAATCCCTTTCCCTACACAATGAAGACAAGCAGTTTTTTCCGCTTTCAACTCACTTTATTTTATTTAATAGAGGTGGTTACCATTCTTTTTTAAAAAATTACTTAAACGAAATTTATTGGCCTTTGAAAATACAAAGTGCACATAATTTTAAGAAAACACTAAAACAGAAATCTAAATATATTTAACACCAATAACGACAGCATAAAGAATTGTAATTGGTAAAACTACCGTCTCCAATACATTTCTTATGGTTCAAAACCGTTCATTTGTTCTGGTAGTACCGGACACCTTTACAAGACAAAGATCTCGGTAAGACGGACATCTAGAGTTGGTCCCTGCTTCTCTACTCTCTTTATTCGACAGACAGCTAGTTAGTAATGCCAGTCCCAGAGGTGTCTGTCTTATAGAGAGTTGATTTTATAATTATAAAATAAAGTCCAGACAAAAATGCCTGTTTGTTATATTAAAAAGATATCTTAATCCATTTAAGGAAACACAAACAACAAAAAGCAAATGCCTCATAGGTCTGTTTGGTGGGCTATTAATGTTTGCCAAAGGAAACAAAACTTATGAAATAGCTGAACTGTGGATTGAGTGCAAAAGAGCTAAGTGTACATTTATCAATAATGCTACTAAAAAAATTTGTAAACAGCAAAAATCTGACATATAATATTTACACAATATGTATTAAATAATTATTATAGAGAGCTTGAGAATTTGGAAAAGTTCAAGTGTAATCAATGACTACAGCTTGCAGTTTGTTTTCTACAGTTAACCACATATCAGTTGAACCTTGATTAATATCTCAAACAAACTTTTTAGTTATCCCATTCTTCTGATCCCAGATTTCTCAAATGAATATTGCAAACTCAAGCCTGATTTTCTTTCTTGAAGTCTCTTTCTCTTTGAAAATCAAAGTTAGTACTTATATGTGTTGTTCATCATATAAGCTACCCTATTAAGAAAGCCAGAGTAGATGGCATTATTGAAAGTCAACCTCGTAGATATCAATTTTTTTATCATCCACACTCCTTTTTTTCCATTTAAATATTTATTGCAGCCAGTCTTGCTGAGTCTGTATAAACAAGGTTCCACTCACTGACTTAAATTTTAAATAAATAGCCATATTTTACTAAGGACCAGGTTACTCAATGCTGGTTTATGCAAAATTTGAGTTGAGATAAGAAAGCCTATTATTGAGCAATGGCCTGTCTCACGGCCCATGATGGACCATCGGGTGCTGGAATCTTTGATATATCACCCTCAAACTTGGGCTTTGCCAATGCTTTGGCATGAGGGGTTAGACTTCTATAATGGGCTCTGTCAAGCTTGCTTTTTAAGTTTGTCAGGGCTGTTCTCTCCCAAGAGAGCTTCTTGGTTAAATAACCCTTTAGTTTCTGTATTACTTCACCAGTGATGGGATCTTCCTCATCTTCATAGGCAGACTCCTCACTGCTCATGTACTCGACACAGAGCACCTCTGGGGCAAGCTGCTTCTGGCTCGAGGATAAGGATTCTCTTATAAGCTCAAAAGCCCCACATCGCCTGTCCAGCTTCTAATAAAAACATAAAGAAGGACAAAAATCAAACTAAATAATGGTGTTGCAGTCCTTCAATAATAAATATAATCTATCAATTCACAGGGTTCTCATTAAGTGCCGGCAGCCGGCTAAAAAACCGGCTACTTGGAGGTTTGAGCCGTCTACTTTTTGGGGAAATAGAGTAAAGTTACAGAGTGAAAGCCTGAAATTGCCTACAGCACTCAGTTACCAAGCCGCCTACTTTAACATCCTAGCTGTCTACTTGAAAAATTAATGAGAACCCTGAATTCATGTTTGTAATAATGGAATTTGTTTAAGAAAGTAAAAATTAAATAACTAAGGATAAAAGTGGCCTCACCCATATACTGCAGTTAAGATCAGAAAAAAAATAAAACAATGTATCACTGACAATAAATATCATTATGACATTATAAACATATTATACATTGTTTTTCATGAGGAAATGGAAAACTGTCCAGTACATACAGGTGTCCCTATTAATGGGATATCAATGCATTTATAATTATCAAAAACAGTTTTTATATTTGACCATGTTCAGATTTTTGAAAAAAAAACTTCCTTATACTTACACTTGTGAGACGTCTACTCATTTTGCACCTCTGCTTGTGCTCTTCATTTTTTCCTTTTTTTATTCTTTGACATTTCTCCTTTACCATTCTGAAGTAACGAAGAAATTGAGCTGTTGACGTAAAGACCAATAATTAGCAAAAGGAAATTTTAAAGTAGGCAACATTTTATAAGAAACCTGCTGAGATTTCTTCAAATCTAAATTTAGCAACTGCCCCTAGGGTTGAAAAGGAACTAGTACATGTAAGTGTACATAACTTTTACAGACAAGAACTTGATTCCTTAGCTAAAGGCAGTGCTATTTTCTCAACAAGGGAAGAGAAATTTCGTATCTCCAAGTGGCCATGTAATATTCTATTTATTATATAAACACCAATGAACCACCAAACCATTTCACTTTAAAAGTAATTTGGGGTGAAAAGTGCGATTTATTATGTAGCCATAGCAACAGTGATATTTTCACATGTGAAGATACCAAGTTTTCAAGTGAAAGCTCACCTGGTATTTCATTGGTGTTTATATAATAATAAGTGTTATTATTCATTCAAAATATTTCCCCGATTCTGATTGGCTAAAAGCACACCTATAATTCATCATATCCAGCTACTGATGACCAAATTTGAAAGAATTGTCGTTTTAATCAACTGATGGCGTCAAAAGTGCTACTTCCTTGCAGGTTAATGTACCATTAACCGAGAAGACCAGGGGAAGAGGTTGAGTTGTTTTGGTGGTGAAAACAAAAAATTAAGGACATTTCACTTCTTTCAAGAGTAAAAACTCGGCAAAATAATAGCTAAAAGCATGGCAGGAACACAACTCGAAGGGCGACATCTGCTTTTGCGGAGCTGAACAACCCTAAACGTGCACTATCGAAGATGAACTTAACACTGATGGAGGTAAGCTTGGTTTAGCTACATTTTTAAACTAGGAATTATTTTGAGTGAATAATAAAACAATTTTTGAATTTGGCTTTCATATCGTATGAAGAATTATGGAGATCTCGGAGGGAGTTATCGGCCGATAACACCCTCCTCGATCTCCACACTTATTCATAAGATACTCAGGCTCATTCATGTAACAACAAACCTTCCATTTGCAGATCAGTCCATGGGAAATGTTCTCCTCCATGTTCTTTTTTTAGAACTTCTTTTATTTTAGACAAGATGTCCTGGTTCACCTCTGACTGGAGACTGTGACAAAAACAGTATGTTAATTTCAAAGTGAAGGCTCAGTAAAATATCCTCAGTTAAAACAAGACCTAATTCATGTAATAAGTCAATTTTAACTGAAGCCTATCTATGACATTTTACAGTGGACTATTTCCAATTTTATGAACAACTTTTAAAGTTAATGCACATTCCCAGACCATTCTAATAAGGCTTTAAGGCTTGAACTGTTTGCTTCACCAACTTCTTTACATTTTTCAGTTCACTTGCCTTAAATTGATAGTTAATTATTGCATAAAACATTGAGCATTTTGTGTAAATAACCTTTGAATCCTTTGAGCTAAGATTCATAATCTGTCTTGGACAACCAAAAAGCATGAAAAAACACTTTCCAGGCCACTACATTCAAAGTTGAAGAAAATTCAAGGGCTTTTCAAGGACTTTCATAGAATTTCAAGGAAAAAATGAAATTCAAGGACATACGGTTGTAATCTTTGCGTTAATACGTAATTTTTCTCTGTGAAAGGCTATCCTAACTTAGATAGCAATGCCGAAGCGCCAAGTTTCATGAGTGAAATCCAGAATAGCTCCGTTTTCTCAAAATCAGCCAGCCTTATACCACGAAACCCTTTTGTGCGTACATAGCTTTGTTTATGTGGGGGGTCGAGAGAGACGCTTGCAGTGAAACCCTTATAAGGGACAAAGGTTTTAACAGAGGCACATGCTTCTTCCCCTAAGAATTAACGATCACTCGTAAAAGTTTTGGGTTTGTTCTGGAAAGGCGTCACCTTAAACAGTTTAAAACGCTTACTGCTTAAAACCTTGATGGGTGAATATAGAATTCAGAACAATACAGTAGACCGTTTCTTGATACGATCCTCCCCATAGGCAATATCTTCCAGTTCCAACGTCAGCACTCACTTTCACTTTGAGATTCCTAGTATACAAAACGTTGGAATTCTCGAGTTGCTTACTTCCCTGATACATTTCGTCACCTTTATCAAGAAAGAAAAGATGCCTTGAAATTTTTCACTCTCAGTTTTATCGAGTTAGCGATGCCTTGTCCAGTATACAGCGCCCTCCTCCTACCTCAGGTCTTGAGGATAAAGAAAGCCGCGTTAGAGTTTTTTCCGTTCAGATGAGTTAAACATTTTTAAAGCAAAAAAATTAGATTTATTTCTGAAATAAATAAATGGTTTTATACTGAATGTGACTGATCAATATTGTATATCTCCACCTACCCAACCTCGTCCCCAGGGTCTTCTCGCTTTCCAATATGGCGGCGGCAGGAGAGAAGACCCTGGCACACAGCGAACTAAAACGATCGCTGATTGGTGCATTCCATAGTGCGTTCATACGTGCGCTCTCATTGGTTTATTCCTTCCAAAACAAAGATGGTTAACCTTTGAGGGCTTCGTAGAGGCTGAGAAGTGCTTTCTTCAGTGTTTGAGACCTAAAAGGTGGACAGAATTCAGGTCTGATTGTTCGGAAAACTGTGACTGTACCGTTGGAAGGCAAAGATTCGAATATAGTGATATCTGGTAATCGCTGGGAATATTATAACGCGTAGAGATATTTCTGTTACTCGTGCTATTTGGTTTGTGTGTTCCGAAAATTACTAAAGATTTGTTTCTTTAATTCCCGATTTGTGAAAGAATACTTGCAAGGCTTCAGCTTATCAATAAATTTAGCTGCCCGTTGCAAAGGTGTAGTATTGTTCTGCCTTTTGTTTTCTTTGAACAAAAGCTGTATGCATAGTATTATTAATGTATGGGGTTATACGGAAATCTTGCATAATCTGCGCTTTGTCTCAGCAGTTTTTTGTCAAGTGAAACATTCTTTTCATTTGATCGTAACATTCATGGGCCTAACCTGGCCTTTTAATTTTTCCACTGTGATTTTGAAGGGGGACGAGGAGCGAGAGAGGCAGATTTCGAAACAAAACTAAAAATTGAAGCCAAACATAGTGTCGCTATCATTTGATATTTTTAATGCTGACTTTTCATTTATTCAGTTTTTAGTGTCACAATAATGATAGTTTATTATTATTTGCTCATTTCATTGGCTGTAAAATAGAGCTAAATACAGAGACATTGGGAAAATAAACTGTTTCCTTTCTCAGAAATGAAAAACTTACATATTGATGTATTGAAGCTTGTGGGATTTCTTTCTAGTTGCAAAAATAAAATAAATGAAAGCACATGATGTCTTTTATTTTGTCAAGTTGAAAACAGTGATCAGCCCATTCAAGGAAATCTGACAGTCTTGGATTCTCAATTTTGCGCCATAGATACCGCATTCTGGATTCTTTGTCAGTGGAACATGGATTCCAGATTCCAGTTATAAATGGGATCCAGAGTACTTTAGGACCTTTATTCCAGATTCCAAGAGAAAAATTTCCCAGATTCCAAACATGGGGTGACAGTGACCCCAAGATAAATACGTTTTCTGTCAAACTAAAACCTGTCAATTGAGCTTCTGATTACTGTAGGCTAAGTGTGCATGTTGTTCTTGTCACTGCATGATGTTCTTGTCACTATATCCTTGAAAAGGGGGTTTGTGGACCAGGTGAAAAAGTGGCTGGTACTGTAGTATTCCAACACCAGCTGGGTATGATTGTGAAGCAGCTATAATTCAGTTCTATAACTTGGATTGAAAAAAATAAACTACTTCAAAGGGTGCATATATCACTATCCACTGAATAAACAAGAGCGGAAGGGGCCTGGAGCATCTCGATCATGGGATTTTTCATGTAGGGATGCAAAGGCTTTTGAAGTGTTTTGTGCCAGAGTCCCCATTAGCATAGTGAGCTTTTAGTTGCCTAGTCATGGCCAATGAGTTTTAGGTCACGTGGTCCCAAGCGAAATAGTGAAACAGTTTCCCTCCAGTTTGCCTAAGATAAGTCACCGAAATGAATTGACCAAGAATTAAGGCCTGGGAAAATGCCACACAGGGACAAGGCAAGGCTTTTAGCTTGTTTAGGTGTTGCGGTGTGAGGTTGCAGCTGTTAGATGTGCTGGCTTAAATACTTTCAAAGTCTACTTTAAGGTGTTGGTTAGTCTTAGTAATAGTGTCTGTATTATAATCATATCGTCAGAAATAATCAGATTAACCCAACTATTAAACTGATAATTGATTATAGTAGATTATAGTTTTGTGCCCCCTGTGTGCCACTTTCAACACTGAAAATAATTTTGTAAGTGAACAAAACAAAAAACCTACCCTGCAAGCAGAGGCTTATCTGTCATATAGTTAAACCAACTAAACATCGTATAAACTAAATTAAGACCCCATCAAAAAGACAACACAGGTGTATTAATGTCCTTATTTGTCAACAATGTTTTTGTGAATTTTCCACAACAATCAACTGAACATTTGTATAAGCGATACTCACTTTGCTTTAGGTTTCTGATGCTTTCTAGATTATGATCGATAATCAGCACACCACTACCAAGTCATGTCTCAATTAGAGTACGAAACGGCCCATCTGACGAGCAAAGCGTGTTTGACTTAAAACATCTATTATCTCCAAATGAGATAGGAACTTTTACTGTGCACATGACTCAGATAGGACTATCAAATTTTTGAACAACTGGAGTCTAGCATTTAGTCAATTTGCACATTGACATGGCAAAGTGCAGCCCCAAGTAATATGTCAAATAAACCAAAGTCAGGGATTAAGAAAGTTTTTGCTCTGAAAATCAAATCTATTTCAAAGTGGAGAATACATTTTGGATTGCTATATTACAAACAATGGAAACACTCTTCACCGTTTGCTAGCTATTAATGCGGGGTTAATGCTTTTTTTTTACATCTGAGAGGCAAAAAAAAAAAAACAATAATAACAACATCTTAAATCCCCTATTAAGGCCCCCTCTCTCAAATAAGCCCTCCCTTTCAATGAAAGAAAGTTTTGACAATAAGCCCCCGTCTTTTTTAACCCCCATCCCACCTTCCCCCCTTTTCTTATTCTTCACTAATAAATAAGAGACTGTATAAATCAATGAAAACTGTAAAGCTTTCTGTGGACCGATCCAGGATGATTTATTCACCAACTGGAAGTTCTGCTTGACCTCCAACCTTCTTGTACTTGGGCTTTTTCACTTGGCATTTTTTTTTGTGGGGAGCTAATACCACCGTCTTTGCTAGATTAAATAAGGCCCCTATCTCTATTGCCCGGAAGCACTGTGAACAGGGTTAGATATCAAAAGCCAATAACAAAGTCTAAAAACTGTGAAGTAGATGAAGATTGACAATAATTTTATTACCTGTACCAGTTCAAGTGACAAAATATCCAAACTGACCAAGGAACTGTTTAATTTTCAACCAAAGTTTCCTCAAATTATATTAACAAAATAGTGTTCTCTGGTTCTTGTTTTCAGAAAAAAAATTGTTTTTTTACATATCAGAGTTCAGTTAAAATTTGTGCAGATAGAAAAACAATAGTCAAAAACCTCATGAAGATCTGTAACGAAACTGACGATAACTTATCAGCTTAAAGTGTCTGCGACTCAATTTAATGCTTAGTTGAATTTTCGGAGCGGAAGAGGTCTTAGAGCGTCATGACAAAAAATTCCCTGGCTTCAGAGGTCTGTTCTCGAAATTCCTAACATGAAGAAATAAATTGCGCTCACGGTTAGAAAAAGCTCCCCCTTTCACGAAAGAAGAAACCTGAACCTCTGGCGCTCAGGGTACGGCAAAAAAAGAAAACGGTGAAAAAAGGTCGGTATCGAGAAATTAAGTTGTAGACAGCCGTGTGCGCTAGAACTTTCAGGCTTAAAACAAATGAAGGTCATTGAACAGAAAATAAGATCGCTATATCATTCTACCGTATTCCTGTGGCTTGTAAGTGTATTCTTTCATATTTTTAGCTTCTTTTGAGTTCTGCCTTTGCCGCCATTTTGTTTGTTTTTCACCAGTCTCAAGACCTCGTACCCAGATCCTCTCACTCTTTATCTTGGCCGCCATTTTGAATAAATTTCCACTCTCCGTGGACAAATCAGTCACGTGATTTCTG